GACGGTAGGCTTAAATGTATCAAACCTATATTTCTATAGTAATGTATACTATGTATTGATCTATCGTGATTAATTCAAATGAATGTGGCATCCTCAGTGTGTATTATCATTTCGAAAAGATGATGGGAGTGAAATGGGAATATTCATCAGGGCAGGATTTGTATTGTTGATTTGCGCCAGTGAATGAGATGAAACGACAAGTCAAGTTGTGACCAGTTAATTACCTATCAAATGAAAGTTTATTTTTTAGATTGATTTCAGGCGCTCAATGGTGTTGCAGGCAACACAAAATTGTGATGGAAATTCCGCCTTATCATCAGGACAAAATATTCCTTCCTTCTTCATAATTTTTTCTTTTGACCTAGAGAGAATTTCAATTCCTCCAGTAACCATGCCGATTGTGATTATTGGGGGTCACCATTTTCACGCCAGGCGGCGTAACCCTCGTAACGTGGGAATTGGCGTCAACAATATAGGCAGATTTCTGCAATGCTCAATCTGGGCTGTGGTGTATCTCTTGATTGCAAATTTTCCCTTTCGGGTGGGTAACAATTCAAATTATTTCCTGAACTTTTGCATTAAAGCAAGACCGAGAATCTCACACTCATCTTGATTGCCGTCAGGTCAGTGCATCACGCATCATTCTTCTGGATCTGCACTACAATGTAATGTATGAACCACCCGGATTCATTCCCGTTAAATGGGTAAGAAATTCACTTTCCTGAACGTATATCAAATGAAAACCCGAGTTCCCTTACTTGGCGAACTGTCACTGTGTTCTATTTGGCGAACTGTCAGTATGCCAAATGCGCGCATCTTGACGGTGGATAAACGGATAAAATGGCTGGATGGATGAAAGTGGATAAAACTTTCGCCGGAATTCTTTTATTCACTAAGATGTCAATTATTTAATGACAATTCTGCGAACTGAGAGCATTAAAAAATGAAGAAGGAACCCGATAAAACATTCTAATAATGTTTATTGCCAGGATTATTAGCAATCGGTTCTGTTCTGGAAGTGAAATGTGAATGTTTGAGATGAGATAAGATATCCATTGTGGGATGTGATTTCACGGAAATGTTTTGTTCGCGTATCTGAACGGGCGCCACTGCGCATTCTAGTGTGATTGCGTGTATTACACTAAAGTGGATCGATTTTTTAAAAAGATAGTCCCGTTTCATCAAATTTTATTGTAGTTCAACCACCATTTATCAATTACTGGTTTAGTCGGTGAACAGGCTGAATTTTGAGGCGATTATGTATCGTGATGACGGTCCAACAGGAGGCGGTATACCTCCGGTGAAACGTCCAATGCAACAATGTGAATCTCAATGTGCACCGAGTGAAGTAGCATCTGTTTCATCTCCGGTTACCTATCAACAACTGAAACGAGGCATGTCCCTGATTTTTTTGGATTCTGCTTATTTGTGTTATGTGGAACAGATTGCTAGTAACACTGATGTGATTAATCTATCGTCAATTTAATTTGTGTTCTAGTTGAACGACCTGTAGCAAGCGTACGTCCTTCGATCCTTCGAAGTGGTCATCGTAAGCGAACTCATCAGATGTTACAAACTGATTCCGCCCCAGTGGTGCCAGCAGCCTCATCGTCGGCTGATGAGCATCTTACACGGTTGAATATGCCGTCTTTAAGGCAACAACCGGATCCCAGAGGTGATGCGTACGTCAAACAACTTGTCAGTAAAATGTCTGGTCGTTTCGAATCACTTGTGAGTTTTTAACCGAAATTTTGCTCTTATTTTTTGGTGTTTATCATCTTTTTTATTGGTCGTTTGACTGCGATCATGAAACTAATAGTCAGTGCCATGTTTCATTTGTGTTATTATTGTTATTGCTGTAATTGTAATTGATCTCGTTACTGTCCTCATGATACATACTGTTATGGCTGTGAATACTTCCATTGTTTTCGGCGGTATGATTACCGTTTTCCAGCCACATTAGAGCCAGTTGATTCAGTTAGTTGTATTCATTGTGAAATCGAATTTGCAGGTCTCTACACGTAAGGTATCTGCAACCCAGCAGTCAGACTCTTCGGTTCGTAAGCGTCTTTCGACAAGGTCATTGATACTCGCAACTTATTCGCGTTGTTTTTCAATTTAATTATTGATTGTTAATAGGGAATTTTTCCAGTTTCATTCGTATTTATTTATAGGTAACAAAACATGTGCAGAAAATTATCAGATCGTGGATATCCTTTAAAAAAATTTATCTGAACGTAATTAAAGCTGATTCATGATCAATTCATGAGGTGAAGTGATTTCTGGAATAATTTTTGACTGTTCATTCATTTCAGGAAAGACTGTGACTTGAACGCACTCTGTTGTTGTGTACCATTATGTGGACGTTCGTTTGATTCACTGCAAGTGTTGGCATGGCATATGAGTTACGCACATCAAGATGTTAGCGTATCACATTCGCGAAATACGATCTGTTATCTGTGCGGATATCAAATGTTCACTGCGAAGGTTTTTATTCATTTTATGACTTTGATTGAAATATTCCATCTTAGTTCAATCATTTGTTCGCTTGGGTTTGTTGAATTCGGTGTTCGAATAGATTTTTTGCATGATTGCATCAATGAATCATTGGCATTACGGATAGTTGTTAGTGATAAGATTGATGCTTCATTCTGATGTGGTTTGTATCAGCTGAATCGAATTTATTTCCAGGGCAAAAATGCTCATTTAACAACGAAGCATCGTTTGATTGCCGAACGGCATAATGCTGAGTGCATTGAGCAGCGTGGATCGATTATTGCACCGGGTCAGTTGAATTCACTCTATGATTCGTCCTAATTGTTTGTGTTGAATACGAATTGTTCCAATCAGATTTACTGTTTCAGTCGACTAGTTTGTCAAGGATATTTTGCTAGATTTGATGCTGATAGGATGAATTTGCATTCAGGTGCTCCGGCTGCTGAACGACTTCGCCTGAAAGAAGTTCATCGGAAAACGGATGCGTATGCAGAACGTCGTTTGACACCTCAAAAAGATGCTGGAACATCGGGATATGATCGATTTGCGGAAGGTGGAACGACGATGGGACTGGATTCGGATTGTAATCCATTAAATGCGAAACCGTTCGATTTGTACGCAAACGATCATTATTATCAGTCATCAATTGGTGAAAATTATGGAGCTTATTTCGTTGATTTACCGGTAGTGGTCGATGAGGATGAATATGATTGATGCTTGTCGCTTGAATGCGATTCGTTATGTACCGAAAAGGAATGCCTGTCTTTAACAAACTTTTTTTGTAACTTTCAAGTTATTCAAACACAGAATTAGGTGGAAATGATTTTGGTTTTGTATCCGAGGTTGAATGCGAACGATTTG